AAATTTGTGTTTTAATTAAACGGCAGCGCAAAGTACTAAGCGCAACATTTCTTAAAAATCAATTTTTTTTTTTCTTTAAACCGAATTCGAACGATTTAATCGCGCAAATGTTTGGTACGGGCGGTAAGAATTCAGATCATAATTGCCCTAAATGTGACGGAGTAGACAACGATGAAATGGTCCAGTGTGACGCCTGCGACGCCTGGTATCACTTTCATTGCGTTGGAGTCGACAGCAATGTGGCTGACATAAGCTGGAGCTGCGAGATTTGTAGGCACGGCGGGTCAACTGCGAACGCGCAACCGACAGCATCGTCATCGCCAACTACCAACCAAAGTAAACGGCAAGTGCATTTTCCAACATCGGTCTCGACAACAGCAGGGAAAGCAGATTTCCCGCGCAATCCGCAACAAAATGTGGTTGCTGCAACCACAACGGTTGCGTCTTTAACAACCGCCACGAATATGCCAGTACCAATTACGTTTCCGACTATGCTACCTGCCACCGCCACAAACTCATCGCTGTCAAATTTAACATCTGCATGCTGGGATTTCCAACCCACTGCACCACATGCCTCATTGCAGGGCCGCCAATTTCCCACGATGACAACCGGGCGTTATTCAACGCTTCCGGCAACGGCATCTTTAAAAGAAGTCGTATCTAGTAACATAGCATATTCTTCAGCAGATACCATGTCTCGCGAACCGGAAATAGTTGAAAGGCAAGGTGCACCAAATGTCCATTTGGCACGGACGCCTCACAATCAGGAGGTACACAGAAAGCTCCAGCTAGAACGTTTGGAGGAAGAGATGAGGATTCAGCAACAGTACTTGGATAACAAGTACAAAATTCTATCTCAGTATGACGAGTTACTTCCAACCAACAATTCATTTTTTACTGTGACCAACAGTCCTTCACCGTCACAATTGGCCGCAAGACAAGCTATCCCCAAGCAGCTCCCGACTTTTAACGGAGATCCGGACGAGTGGCCGCTTTTCATTAGCAGCTTTGAAAACAGCACAACTGTCGCCGGGTACACCGAAGCTGAGAATTTGATACGACTACAAGCGAGCCTTAAAGGTAAAGCGCGTGAGATGGTAAAGAGTAAACTGTTTATGCCATCCATGGTACCTGAAATTATCAAAACCCTCAAGATGTGTTTCGGTCGACCGGAGTATATTCTGGAGCGGGCGGTGAATCGAGCTCGTGGTCTTCCGCCGGTGAAAGACAAATTAGAGGCTCTTATTGAGTTTGCACTTTGTGTGCGAAATATTTGTACTACCATGGAAGGATGCCAAATGTATATGCATTTACATAACCCATTGTTGGTTAAGGAGCTGGTGGACAAGCTTCCAAACAATCAAAAGCTAAGCTGGGCAGTTCACCCTAAAAACGATGAAATACCTGTAGTGAAGCAATTTAGTGAGTGGTTGTACAGCTTAGCTGAAGCCGCAAGTACCGTAGTCAGCTTAGCGCCAACTAATACGCGCATGGTCAACACTCATACCGTCGATATGACCCGAGAACGTATGCAAGCAGAACAAAGAGCATACCAAAACAAGCAGTGTAAAGTTTGCAAGAGCTACGAACACAAAGTAGCGCAATGCGAAGTCTTTAAAAATTTTTCACTACAACGCAAGTGGGAAGCAGTGAAGGCTAACAACCTTTGTCGCCAATGCCTCAACCCACATAGACGCAAATGTTACTTAAACAGGATCTGCGGTAAAGATGGATGTACAGTCAAACATCATCCTTTGCTCCATAAATCGGTAATGAACCAAAGTAAACCAGTAAGTACTGCAATTGAATTCTCAGATGCCACGGTAAACACCCACAGCAACGAAAGAAACCAACCTCTTTTCCGAATCGTGCCAATTTATATTCATTCCAAAATCAAAACAATAAAAATATTTGCATTTTTAGACGAGGGCTCATCCGTCACGTTAATGGAAAGAAAGATATTTGATGAACTCGACTTGGTTGGTGAACAAGACCCTTTATGTCTGCGATGGACAGGAAACACTACGCGCGTTGAGAAGAACTCTGTAAGGGCTGCTATTGAAATTTCAAGTATGACAAATAAGCGAAGGTATATTTTGAATAACATTCACACCGTCGACGACCTCGATCTACCGGCACAATCGATCGACGCGTTTGAGTTGCAGAAAATGTATCCACATCTAGCAGGTCTACCGATCGCCTCATATGAGAACGTTAAACCATCGATGTTAATCGGCGTTGATAACTGGAAGCTCGCGGTTCCTCTCAAAATAAGAGAAGGAACTTGGTCACAACCCATAGCTTCGAAAACTCGCTTGGGGTGGGCGCTGCAGGGATGCGACGTTGGTTGTACGGAAGAATGCCAGCTTAATGTCCACACCTGCGATTGCCGAAAAGGTTACGCTGAACTGCAGGAAATGGTAAAAGATTTCTTTAAGATAGAATCTCCTAAACCAACACAAGTAATGTCGAAAGAGGACGCAAAAGCCGTAAGTATTATGAACGACACGTACCAAAAGATTGGCAACCGTTATGAAATTGGGCTAATGTGGCGCGATCTTAATGTCTCGATACCAGACAGCTATTCTTACGCTCATCAACGACTGAAATGTTTGCGAAAAAAGTTCATTAAAGATCCTAATCTAAAATATACCATACAATCACAGATCGATAATTTACTGGCTAAAGGATACGCCAAGAAGCTCACGGAAGAGGAGGTTGCAGCACGTGGTGGAAAAATATGGTATTTGCCAATTTTTATTGTAAGCAATCCGAACAAGCCTAGTAAAGTTCGAATGGTGTGGGACGCGGCTGCGAAGGTGAATGGAGTTTCGCTTAACGATTTTCTACTAAGCGGCCCAGACTCGCTCAATTCACTAGTTGAAATTTTGTTGTCATTTAGAGTCGGCAGAGTAGCGATATGCGGCGATATTGCAGAGATGTTCCACCGCATTAACATCCGGGAGAGTGACATGCACGTCCAGAGATTTTTATGGTATGATGAAGGCGATGAGCAACAGATACCCAGTGTTTATGTTATGCGAGCATTGACATTTGGACTTAATTGCGCGCCATGTATCGCACATTTTATTCGTGATAAGAACGCGGATAGTTACACTGACAAATTTCCCCGTGCTGTGGAAGCTGTTAAGAAATACCACTACGTAGACGACTATATCGACAGCGAAGATGATTCAGAGTCCACTTTGACTCTGGCTCGACAAGTTCAGAAAATTCACAGCAACGCTGGGTTCAACATTCGTGGTTGGTCATCGAATTCACGAGCCGTTGTAGAGCAACTCGAAGAAAATGGTTCTTTGGTTCAAACTGGTAAGGAATGGGGCTCAACGACGAAGGTTCTTGGAATGTTTTGGGATCCCAAATGTGACAGCTTTAAATATATTTGCCGATTTGCAAGACTCCGTCGCGACGTGATTAATCAACCGTGTATCCCTACGAAGAGGGAGCTTCTTCAAGTCTTGATGTCTATCTTCGATCCATTGGGATTTGTAAGTTGCTATACCATTGGCT